GAACTGGCAAGGGACAGATTATCTTTAATTCAAGAGTACACTTAGACTCTGGCTTCAGGGAACCTTAAAGATTCAGCATTTAAAGATTCTGGCTGCAAGAAGCCTTATTTCTTTGTTTAGAAAACATTAGCTCTAGTACTTCTAAAACATTTCCATAACATGGGCCAGTGCTTGAGACTGATGGCCTTTCATGGCTACCTTCCCCTCCAACCTTCCCTGCAACAATCATATTTCTTGGTCACATAAAAAAAAGTTCCAACATTATGGCTCCCTCCCCATTAAGGGTGAAGGGGGACCCTGTGAGTCTATCTATGCTAGCCTTTCACTGGGGCCAGGCATGAGGGAGCAACCTCTGATTAGGTGCATGGCTGCATTCCTACCACCAGCAGCACAGAAAAATGAGAGGGTGATTTCACAAACCACGCCAAGTTACACCAGTCTGCAGCATATATCTGTTGTATAGGGAAGTGAGAGATGCTTGTGGGTTTTTTTGTTTTGTTTTGTTTAGTTGATAGAAAAAGCAAAACTCCTAAATACATCTTGGGCTTGGGTTATAACTAGCACCAGATGTCATTGCATGAAGACTGATACATGCACAACTGACACTTTGTAGGACAACAAAGCCTCATCTTATTTCAGCTGTGCATGCCTCGTCTTCTTGCTGGAAGCAGCATTTTGGATTGCACTTTGAATTTATTCCTTTGTTTAATTTTTCCTCTGGCTGTGGAAAGCCATTAACTTTGTGTTTGATTTTAGCCACAAAAGGCTTTGTTTTCTACTTGTGGCCGCAGGTAAGTGTGACCCAGACAGTTTTTTTATGGACAGAAATTGGCCTACCATGCACTTGCACTCCAGAACAGTTACAGTCCCTTGTCAATGTGCCTTACTCCTAACCCAGAGGGACCATTTTTTGTGGAGGAGAAAATAGAACATTCTTTATTCTCGTTCAGTCCTTGGCCTTCTTGTTGATGTTGCCAACAAGGTAGTCAGTTAGTACCAGTTGCCATTGGAATTTTGTGATGTGGACTGACACTTCCAACTCATTTCATATACGTTACTGAACAACCAATAGACAGGAACTCGATCTGGATTGGAATCAGTAACCTAGAGTCAAAACGGCAACCTATGTTCTATTACCTGACTCTCGTCTGTGAGCTTGATGGTGTCTTTGAGCCCAGCTGCAGGGTGATCTGGTACAAAAAATCTCCAGATATGAAACTACTGGAGATGGGAGGGAGAGGTAGAGAATGCAGGGAAGGGATGTTTCTATGAACATAGTAACATTTGTTCACCTCCTTTCATGAGCTCATTAATAATCAAATAGCTTTTGAGATAATAGAAAAGATAAGAATTTTTTAACAGTGCATTTCAATTTTAATCCATTTTTCTTCCATTTCCTCTTTCCTACCTCTGAAACATCTGCTGTCTTCTGGTATTTGGTACAGGGAGGAGGGAAAGAATATCTATTCTCACCATCCTTGAACTTTCCTGCAAAGCTGGCTCTGTTTCCTCCCTCAACTCAGCTCCTCACTTGCTAGTTTTTCTTCCTGTTTGTTGCCTAATATATGTGTCTGCGGCAGACCTACAGTATCTCTTTAAAATGGAAACCTTTTCTGCAAAGCATTCCTTTTCACCCTGTAAAAGTTCTGCACTGTAAATTTCCTCCAGCTTTAATAACCACTTTGCACCAGAGTCATAAATTTGAATAACTTCATGGAAGAAGATTTGTCGGAAAGTGGGTCACACAAACAGTCTTCTTCCTGACAGGTGCTGACACAGCCTGGTACAACGGGCTTTTTCCTTTTAAAAATGAAGAGGCTACAACAATTAACTTGCCTGCCTTCTTTTAAACTGCCGTGAACCTTGTCCTGCCCTCCTTGCACCTTCAGAACTCCTGTTGGCATCAGTGGGAGTTTTGAGTCTGCAAGGAATGCAGGATCCGGGAGAGTAATGGTGTGTTTTCTCCTCTACTCAGACACTAGACATTTAACTATTTCATTGCCCAGCCCAGCCTTCCTGTCTACATTGAAATGTCAAGATGTTCTATCACATAAGAGCTAATATCAGAGGCACAGAACTTTGGAGAGTTCATCTCTGAACTTCATGGGTAGCCCCTTTCACTCTAACAGGCCAATCCAAAACCCACATGTGACTGCTGCCTTAACTTTGTGATCCTTGCCCATTTCAGCTGTGATTTTTAAAAAAGAGGACAATACAGTTTGGATGCAGGCCTCCACCTTATGCCACATGGCTATGAGTGGTCTGGAAAATCTTAAGGCTCTCTCTTTGTTCTCTCATTCTCATCAGGTCTGTTCTAATAATAATGTAATACATTTTGGCCTAATATAGAGTGTTCTGTCCAATGATGTCGAGTCTAAGCACTTTGCAAACCTTAATGAATTGCAGTAAATAACTTGCTCAGTGTCACCAAAAGGGTCAATGAGTGGCATAGCTGGGTATCGAACTCAGACCTCCCTGGCCGTGGCTCCAAACATTAGACCATATTCCATCATGCAGCTGGTAGACTGTACTGGAGAGGTAGAAAGAGACGGTATTATTGTCAGCACATTCGCCTTTTCACTACAGATTGGTTAGACTAACCAAACAGCATTCCTGACACTGCAACTTCCCATTTGCTGTTACTGCTGCTGCTTCTGGAGGTATTTATCTATGTGAAAGCTTGACATGTATCAGCCTAAAGAAGAGCGATCCTCAGAGCAGGATAGTGCTACTGCGGACTGTCTGTTCTGGGAAAGTGCTTGGGAATGGGAATAAGATGTAGTGTTTGGATACAATGAGAGAAGTAATTCAGAGTAGCACAGAGTATAAGCTCATACTTAACCACTGCCTTTGATAAGAAATCTTATAAATGTCATATGTGGTTTCAAATGTTTTAGAGCCTGATTCAAAATCCCTGATGTCTATAGAATATTAACTTATGCCATTGATTTACATGGGCCATGGATTAGCTAGGATGGACTCCATATCCTTTTGGCTCAAAATGTGGTTAGTGCACAACAAACTTTATATATTTACCATCATTTGCAAGTTACCAAACTTACAGGCAACCTTACAAGTTACTGGCAATTACTCTTAATTAATACTTTTCTAGTGGCCTCACCACTTTTTCCAAAGCACAAGTTCTAAGTTAAAAAAACAACAACCCAACAACAACATTTCTGTCCCGTATAGTTGTGAAGAAAGCCTTTCACATGTGAAAGTGCTGATGGCTCTGGTCCTAAGTCTGCAGACAGCCTGAAACAGTAGTTCTAGTTGAGGTATAAACTTCCCTTTTCACCTCAGTGAGGTATTAATTCAAAACTCTACTGGTTACAAATTCAATGTCCACATTAACTATTTCATTGTTGATTGTTTTAACAGAAACATCCAGCTATTCCGGAGCGCGGCAGGGGAGGGCGCCGAGCCCGGCCACGGGCCGCTCTCCCCGACCGGCCAGAGCGCCGGGGGGAGGGCGGCGAGCCCGCCACGGCTCCGCTGGCGGCTGGAGCCCCAGGAGGAGGGCGGCGAGCCTGGCCGGGGCTCCGCTCTCCCTGGCGGCCAGAGCGCGGGGGGGAGGGCAGCGAGCCCGGGGCTCCGCTCTTCCCAGCGGCCAGAGCGCCGGGAGGAGGGCGGCGAGCCTGGCCGGGGCTCTGCTCTCCCCACGGCAGCCAGAGCGCCGGGGAGGGTGGCGAACCCACTGCGGCTCCGCTGTCCCCGGAGCCGGAGCGCCACACCGCGTCACCCCCCTCCAGGTGCCTCTCCAAGCACAAGCTTGGTGGGCTGGTGCCTGGAGTCGGCCATGGTTATACTCTCTTGGACTATCTCAAAAATTCACCTCTCTACTCATACATCAGTCTCTTCCTACCCCCTTTAATCATTTTTGTTGCATTTCTCTGAATTCTCTCCAGTTTGTCCCTTTTTGATTTGTTGAGGTACCACTTGGAGTAAAAACAGATCAACCATCTATCTCTCCATCTTGTATAGAGCATGTGGTATTCAAAAGAAAAAGAGCTGGGGCCTCTGCCAGCATTATAGATGGATCAGTCTCCTATTTCAGAATTAGAAAAATCAAGTGAAATAGTAGGTTAGCAAACCAGGTCACACTGCATTATTAGAAATGCCTTCCCCTGTGTCATCATAGCTGACCAGCACAGATTTTGCTGAACGCATTTTCCCAAAGGCATGTACAGAGTTCACACAAATGAGAAGATTCCCCAAAATCTAACTTCCAGTAAAGGGTGGGGGTGGGCAGTTTCATCTCTGATGTAACTCCATTGACTTCATTAGTATTACTGGTATCTCAGGCAGGAGTTGGCTCAGTCTTTGGAGACATCTGACATTAACTCAAGTTTTACAGAATCTGTGAGATTTCTAGTAGTGTGGGGTAGAGTTTAATTTTGAGATCAGAGGCATGACTGCTATCTTTTCTGGCTCCACAGTTATGCCCCATAAACCTCCTCCTTCATGATTCCTTTTAATAACTTCTTTTCCTGGCCTGCTCCCTTGTCTCCAGACCTGCAGAAGTCGGGACTGCATGGAAGCAATAGGCTTAAAGAGAAAAGTGGGTGGAGGGGATGACCAAGAGAATGAGCATGGTTCTGTTCTGACGAACACATAATAAACAGAATTTTGGGTCTCGATATTAGTCTAAAATTTCTTTCCCAATACCTGAAAGTCTGTCAGTGCTTCTCCTGAATGGTGCAACACCAGGTACTTAGAAAAGCATAGTAATATGCATTGGAAATTAGACTCTGCTTTGCAATGTAATGATAGCCCATAGTAGTACTTTGCGAGAGGAGGACTTACACCAGGTCTATGCCTACAAGGCAGGGAATGCTTAAGAAATAGTGGAGAGTTCCTGCAATTGAAAATGTAAGCCAAATATTCATATGAATGCTTAGTTTGTGGAATGAGCTGAGACGCATGACAAAGATTCTTCAGTGAAACACATCCTTGGTGCAGGCATGACACGTTGGACTCAGACGTTGTATTGTTTTTAGTTTCAGGAGCCTCTGGGAGCAAGGACAGGGAACCTGGCTATGTGACAGCAGCACTGGGGAACACATGGAGTCACAGCGTCAACACCAGGCTCATACTACAGTATCATGACTTGCACACAAGACAGGTGAGGAACTTATCAGGAAAAAACAGTAAAAATTGAGAGCCCAGAGCCTCATAATCTGTGCTTTAGGGGATGGGCTCGCTGTGAGTTCTGGCCCCGTTGGCTCAGAGAGGACTCTGTGAGAACGCTGGCCCCTTGTGCTTGGGGTTATGGTTTATGGAGTGCATTGGTACCCTGTTCTTTTGGATGAGGGCCATTCCTTGAGTGCTCTGATACCCTGTGTTCTGGAGCAGTGATGGCGTTTTCTGAGTGACTTGGTACCTGATGTTCTGGAGATGGAGGGTTGTCCTTTGAGAACCTTCCCACTCAGTGATCTTTGGGGCAGTCCTCCATGTGCCCTGCACTCTGTATACTATCTGATTTTCTACAAGTCTTGAGCAAAATATCTGTTGTGAGTATTCATATAGAAACTCTTAAAATTTTTGCAGCTATTTGCAAGTGACATTTTTCTGTCTCCACCTGCAGTAATAGCTTTTAACTGCAAACATGGTGAAAATTTTCCAGGAGCATTTTAGCAATAGCGAGAGAACTCACCATTTTCGCTGAGAAATGTTATGATGTGCAGTGAAGTGTGGTAGAATTTTACTTGCAGTGAAAAATTGGGATTCAAGACTTAATATGTTTGCTTTTTGAGAGGCCAGCACAACTCATGATGTAATTTATTCCCTTGGGGTGTCTATGTGGTTGGACTTTCTTGGTTTAGCATGTTTCATTATTTCGCCACTGTAACTCTTTCCAAAGATCCTGCCACTCTTTCTAATGTTACTGATTTCCTGTTCCTTAAAGTCAGGGTGTTGTCGGAAAAATGACTATGTAAAACTTGCACCTTCTTATTTCTCATATTTGCTCCCTATGTGTCTGCCATTCAGAGCTTCTGATTTTACTGCCACAAACCAATCGTTCCTTCTACTAGCCTCCCAGGGTCCATACAGCTACAGGAGAGTGATTCTACCATGAACATAATCAGTGGAGTTCTCATTTCAGCATCTTTATTACTGGGGATGATGTACAGTGTGAGGCAGAAAGTTCAGCTGGATCCTCGTATCCCAGGTTGAATTTGTATCAAAGACAGGTAGAAAAAGAATCTTTTGACTCATAGAGTGGGCACATTTACTTTGGAGTCATTGAAAAGTAAATATGGAACCCACAATGTCATTTGTACAGAAACACATTTATGAATACAGCTGCTCTTTAAGTTCTTCCTAGTTCTGCTTTACATTCTGTGCTACAGGGAGTTCTGGTCCTTCTAGACATGTTGTAAAAGGTAGAAAGAAGCCAATTGTGTCCTGAATCATTTTAAATGTGATTTGCTGGTGTGGTGGGGGGACTGGGTTTAGTGCTGCTTTATGATGTACTAAGCAGGCTAAACATTCTGCTGTTTTCACCTGAGAGAAATTCAGGATATCAAGTCAGGTCTTCCCTGACTTTTCTGGAAGACTCATGGAAATGTGTAGAAGGTGTTTCCTTAGCCCTTAATTGAATCTTTAACGAAGATCTTTTCTCCTGCATGCTTTAGTTGAATAGATGTTTAACAAAAACAAAACGTTTGAACCAGTTTGAATTGTTAAGTATAATTATTAATAATTATTATCATCAGCGTGCCAATAAGTCCCAGCCATGGATAATCACTCCCCATCTCAGTTAATTATGTATCACCTCCTTGGTACTTATGATGTCATATTCTACTATTCCTCCAGCAAGCCCCGACAAGAACTGAATTTATGTGTAAAAAATAAAAAACATAAAAAATGACCATGAGGGGAGAGGGTCCCAGAGCCCAGGCTTCAACCCAAGCCTGAATGTCTACACTGCAACTTTATAGCCCCACGGCCCAGGCCCAGCTGATCCTGGCTGGCTGTGGGTGTGTTTTTGCAGTGTAGACATACCCAAAGAGTACAGCCTGACTTTCAGATTCCACGTAGAGCTTGCAGTTAGGAAAAATCTTATTTCTTGTGAACTGAGCAGATTTGTTATCAATATTAACTCCATAAATATTAACTTTATTGTTATCAATAAAACTCCAGGGTTTTGGCCGCCCCAAGCATCCAAAAAAAAAAGAAAAAAAAGCAAGCCGTGATCACGATCTGCGGCGGCAATTCGGCGGGAGGTCCTTCGCTCCTAGGTGGAGTGAGGGACCGTCCGCCGAATACCTGGACGTGCCGTCCCTCTCCGGAGCGGCTGCCCCAAGCACCTGCTTGACAAGCTGGTACCTGGAGCCGGCCCTGAGACAAAAATGCAATTTGTAGAGACGCTTTTCAGATTAGGACAACACTTTAAGTATTGGTTTCCACTACCATCCTGGAACCATACAAATCTCATGCTAAATGTGAGGCCACAGTATTCCTACAAGGGTTCCAGATTAAATCTTGGATTTCTGCTGCTGTAGCTGGAACAAGCTATTGGTTAGTGATATTGACAAGCATTGCTGTTTTGTTAAATCAGTTTACCTTAGCTTTAACCATGAAAGTAAGTAGTGTTATGGCAAAGGATTGAAAGTAACAGATATGATAGGGTTAGTTTGAAGAAATAACTGTTAATCCTCTTCGTCACAAGTATCACTTTTTTCTTTTGCAGTTTGGAATTAGAAAGTTTTGTGAAAAAACAACAAGGAGTCCGGTGGCACTCCTTGTTTTTGTTGAGTTTTTTTGTTGTTTTTGTGGATACAGACTAACACAGCTACCCCCTGATACTTGACACCATGTAAAGTTTTGTGAAATACCCTCAGTGCATACCGAAAGCTGTAGTCCAGTAAAAAGCAGCCCCACCACTGGGCAGACCTCCAGATAGATTACCATGGCACACCACATAATCTCCCTAAAAAGATGGAGGGCATGTGGGGTTGCCAAAGTGGGACCTGGGCATCAAATAGAGGGTTTGCTACCCTGGGAAAGTGGCATGATGACCTGTGGCTGGACCCAGTTCAAAATCTTTCCTGCAAACAACAGGAGATCCTTTTTGGCATAGGAGAAAAACCCTCTTTTGGGGAAAAAGGCCTGGTTATTTATTTTAGAGCACCAACCCAGAGTAAAAATGGCTTCATAAAGGCGCTCAGATCCTCAGTTTACCTATTGAAAACAAGAGGTTTACAATACAAAGTAAGCAAACTAAAGTGCATACGGTTATAGCCCACAAAGTTGGGGGATGCTCAAGAAGTGAAAAGTAATTTTCTTTTGGCAGCCAATTTCCTAGGATACTGTCCTCTGTATAAGCGCTCTTTGAAAATTAGAGGCATCTGTCCTGCGTTAGTCCCTTGAGTTCACTCAGACAAGGTTAAAACCAGCACCTGAAAGGCAGAGGACTGTATGGCCAGATTCTATCAAATCAGCAAAGGAGTGGTGTCCTTCCTAGTATGAAGCTAGCATAAGTGAGAGAGGATCCATAACTAGGACAAAGAGATTTCCTAAAGCATAATATGTGAGGGGATACCACAGCATATCAGATTGCTAGATGCTCATTCTCAGTTGGGGGATGCTCATTTCTTGGAGAAGACTCAGATATTATGTGGGTATTCATAATCCTGAATGTTCTGGGACAGGGTGACTCCAAGGCATCAGATTGGATAATGAATATTTGAGTGAAGTCAGGGAAATGAAGTACAGAATTCTGGCACAGGATCTCTTTTATTGTGGAAAAGATAGTGTCATGTTGCATGGTTCACTGGGCAGTTTGGAGCCCCCTGTGACTGGTGAGTTCTACTCAAAGAGAAGCGAGGGTGGCAAAGTAATGAAACACACGTAACAGTTTTCCTGTCTTAAAATGGACCATGCTTGCTTTTTGTGTTGAATACAGCAGCTTTCTTTAGTGCCTCATTTATCCAGGAGGAGTTGGGGTTGTGTGAAGAAATACTTCCTTTTGTCCGTTTTAAACCTGCTGCCTATTAATTTCGTTTGGTGACCCCTAGTTCCTGTGTTATGAGAAGGAGTAAATAACACTTCCTTATTTACTTTCTCCACATGTCATGATTTTATAGACCTCTGTTCTATCCCCCCTTAGTCATCTTTTTTCCAAGCTGAAAAATCCCAGTCTTATTAATCTCTCTTCATATGGAAGCTGTTCCATACCCCTGATCATTTTTGTTGCCCTTTTCTGTACCTTTTCCAATTCCAATATATCATTTTTGAGATGGGGCAACCACATCTGCATGCAGTATTAAAGATGTGGATGTACCATGGGTTTATATAGCGGCAATATGATAATTTCTGTTTTATTATCTATACCTTTCTTAATGATTCCCAACATTGTTAGCTTTTCTGACTGCCGCTGCAGACTGAGTGGATGTTTTCAGAGAACTATCCACAGTGACTGTAAGATCTCTTTCTTGAGTGGTAACAACTAATTTAGATCCCACCGTTTTGTATGTATAGTTGGGATTATGTTTTCCAATCTGCATTACTTTGCATTTATCAACATTGAATTTCATCTGCTATTTTGTTGCCCAGTCACCCAGTTTTGTGAGGTCCCTTTGTAACTCTTTCCAGTCTACTTTGGACTTAACTATCTTGAGTAGTTTTGTATCATCAGCAAATTTTGCCTCTTTACTGTTTACCCCTTTTTCCAGATCATTTATGAATATGTTGAACAGTACTGGTCCCAGTACAAACCTTTGAGTGACACCAGTATTTATGTCTCTCAGTTCTGAAAACTGACCATTTATTCCTACCCTTTGGTTCCTATCTTAACCAGTTACTGATCCATGAGAGGACTTTCCCTCGTATCCCATGACAGCTTATTTTGCTTAAGAGCCTTTTGTGAGGGATCTTGTCAAAGGCTTTCTGAAAATCTAAGCACACTATATCCACTGGATTTCCCTTGTCCGCATGCTTGTTGATCCTCAAAGAATTCTAGTAGATTGGTGAGGCGTGATTTCCCCAACAAATCGTGTTCATCTATGTGTCTGATCATTTTGTCTTCTACTATGGTTTCAACCAATTTGCCTGGTACTGAAGTTAGGCTAACTGGCCTGTAATTGCTGTGATCACCTCTGGAGCTTTTTTTAAAAAAAT